ATTTGCTAGTTGTAGCAAGCTAGCTAGCTAGGCTACAATTAAAGTACAAGCCAAATAGTATTATTGTGCTTTATTAGAGCATCTCTAAGAATGATACAGTGTGGTTCGAGTTTAGCTCGTTTTAATTATTTGATTATATTTGATTTTGAAAATGTTAAATTTAAATTAATCAAAAAGAAATTTGAACACTACCGCTTGTTTATGATTGAGTTGAATTGGGTGCACTGTACTTTTAAGTAAAAACCCTAACCAACAAAATATATATAGAATAGGGATTGGGATTTGCCCATTAGATATTAGGGTATGGTATCATGTCTCAAACTCTGATTAATTCGTGCTCTAAATAGTAAAATTCGACAGGCGTACAACGTACGCTTGACGTACGCTAGCCTGAACTATATATATATATATATATATAACCTGTTAAAGTATCAAGCAAATAAACGAAGCTTTAAACATCAAAATGCATAGGAGCTGTTTGGATTGTGATGAAGTGCAATTTGCTTCAACATGTTTAGCATTTTCTACTGAAATAAGCTAAAGACGTTATTCATTATAAGCTAAAGCATCCATAATATGTTATTCTTCAAAAATTGTATGCAAAAAAAACAACAACGTGAACTATAACCTAACTAAATACGTCTAATATGATAAATACATTTATAACCTAACTAAATACGTCTAATATGATAAAGCATCCATAACCCCCTCACGAATATGCTTGTAGAGGACCTAAATACATTTTTTATACGGACACTTAGAACAATAATTGTAGCATGGGTTGGGTCAGGTATCTACAGGTTGCATAGCCCAAAACTCGCACACAGCTCAAGAGAAGCGAATTCCACAAAAGAAAACTTAGTCAAACATTAAACTTTAATTTTAGCGATAATTATAAGTGAATTGAGTTAGATTATGGTTATTTTTATTCACGCCTATAATTCGCCACTCAACAACTTTAGCAATTATCACATTTGTCCCTTTCACACCATGTGCATTAGTACAATTCAAAGTGCAATTTTAATTGTGATCCTACACATTATTTTAATACAACTCCCAATCATCCTTAATCCCCATTAGTAGTGACTACGTCATCGTTAATTCCCATCACTAAAACGGATAATTGTATCATCCTTTGTTTCTGAAACTGCAAAAAGGTGGGTTTGATTTGTTTTTGGTTTGGAAAGGGAAATTATAATTGCTCTAGCTAGTTACTAATAAATTATCTCATCTGCCACACTTGCAGTCTGGTTGGTCCGAGTAAATAGGAGTTACTGCAGGTGCTTGTGCTTCTCAGTTGTTCATCTAATTAATGCTTATATATCATCACACTGCTCTCTCTACACAGGGGCGGAGCTACAGCTGGTCTCGGGGGATCCCACCCCTCGAGAATCGTGAAAGTTATGTCTAAACTATATCGATATTTTGAAAATTTCGTAAAAACTAACAAAAGAGCAAATATGTTTAGTGTGCAAATTTGAAGAAACAAAGCAGGCTTAGTCAAGTGGGGAAGAAGTGAGTTATGATGCAGCTGGTTTAGGGTTCGATACATAGCCTATGTAATTTTGTTATGTTTTATTTGCTTTCTGTTTTAATATATCTACATAATTACTCTTTTAAATTTAAATTTATTATTTCTTGACTCATTTAATTAGATATAATTATTCTTTCAAGTTTCATGTTATGGTTTCTTCATTTCATTATTTCAATATTATTGCTTGACTCATTTAAGCCTATGTAATTTTGTTATGTTTTATTTGCTTTCTGTTTTAATATATCTACATAATTACTCTTTTAAATTTATTATTTCTTGACTCATTTAATTAGATATAATTATTCTTTCAAGTTTCATGTTATGGTTTCTTCATTTCATTATTTCAATATTATTGCTTGACTCATTTAATTTCAAGTTCAGTTTTTCTACCACTTTGCAATTTTATATCACTGAAAAATTATCCATTTTGACCTTTCATAAGTTATTCAACATCAATATTTTGACTCTAATCATCTAAAATGATTAATCATAATACTAATAAAAGTAAAATTTACTTTGATTGTCTTGCTTAGTTTTTAATTTTTTATCACCCTTCTGCGGTAATAGTATTAAATAATTTTCGCCCCCCCCCCCCCCCCGAACGTCAAATCCTAGCTCCGCCCCTGTCTCTACATGCATAGTAAACTTTGAACAGTTCATAATTTCTTTTTTTTTTTGTAATAATAATATGCAATGTTATTATGCAATGTTTGAGATCGCTTTCATGTGTGTTACAAATCCATAAAAAAAAAAAATGGTGGACTCCAAGTTCCCACCATCTCTTCAGAAATCTGCTTCTTCCCATTCATCCTCCCCACCTGAAAAAGGGCTGAAGCCTGAAGGCATGCATGTGAGACTTCGGATTCAAGATTACACAATCTATCCACCAGAAGCTGAAGGAAAATCACGTGTAGTAGTAGTAGGCTTTGAAGAATTGATGAATGGAGCAAAATCTCATATCAAGGTGAAAACAAAAAATGTAAGCTTTAGGTAGGCTAGCCAGCCAGAGAATAAGCTTTGTACAAGAACATGGTTTTACATGGATCACATTATTGTCTCTGTTGCAGAGCTCTGTTCTTTTCCACTTTCCCTCCACAGCCAAATCGAGTAACCCTATCTTTCTATGGTGGGTGGATGCATCAATATAGATAATCTATTGATTTGATTTGGATCTGGAAATTGGCTACTGTAGGACGAGAAAGCCTTCTTTTCAGGCTTTCCAACTTCAGCAAGACAAAGATTCCATAGCCTTTAAAACACTATTATGCTCTTTTTAGGTTAATGAGAGAGTTGTAGCCTCAATTTGGTTCTGATTAGCTGCTGGTCTTGGATTCTTATATTTACATAGTCAGTTTGAAGAGTCCATACTCCATAATAATGTAAGGGTGGCAAAGGGTCCCAACCGAAACTAACGGGTAACTACAGTTGCATAGACACTCATAGGTTCACAAACATAACTGCGAATAATTATTTCCGACACCTACATTCTTATATTATTGAAATTTTTTCTAAACTTATATATTGATATAAAGACTAACAACATCAATAATTAATAATTATTCATATTTTTATAAGTACATACTCTCGAACACTGCACACCCCAACCCTGCTAGTATCCATAATTGAACATCTAAACAACTCGAGTTATTAATACCAACTAGTTCATGACATGGTATTAGATTCTTTTGTGACCGAGAGGTCTTATGTTTCGAACCCCCAATCACCCTCATATGTCTTCTTAAACACATGGTGTCCGCCATTGTACAAAATTCAAGTCTATATGAGTGATTTTCGTTAGGAGACGTGTTAATAAATTGTGTATAATTGATAATCGAACCTCTCTCAACAGATCGAATTATTGAGACTAACTAGTTCTTGATAAACCAACCAAATTAAAAACATTTTTTTTAAATTCGCATCCTATAAAAAATCCTTCAAAACACTCTGATTTAATCGCTTTGACCTGATTGGACTTATGGTTGGACACCCGAAGCATCATTTTTCATCCCTAGTCCATATCCTTGATATCCAAAAAGGCAGAGAAGGGTAAGTTTGGTGATGGTGATGATAAGGATATGGGTAACAAAGAGATGGGAGTTGAGAAGGACACTTATGTGTATGTACATGGGGGCCATGGGAATGGTCCATCTTTATGTTGTTTGACTTGGAAGCCAGAGAAACCATATCTCTTCTCAATAAAAGACTTGTCTTTGTACTGCACATGGGGAAGGAAGGGAAGAGAAGAGAAGGAAGCAAAATTGGGTGCCTGAAAACCATTGAATTCTGCCGTTTTAGCTCCTCCCCTCCATTCCCATGTGTGTTTCTTCCCTGCCCCATAGACATCATCACATGCGGGTTTCAGTGCTGGAAGGAGATAAAAAGAAAAACAGAGCCAACAGCAGAGTTAATGGCCAGTTGGTGAATTCGTTTGTGGACAGACTTCTTTATTATTATTGGACCTAAAACTAAAACCAAACTCACTCCTAAACCCATGTTATGTTCTCTGTTAGCCAGCCAGGTCTCTGCCTCTCACTCCCACCATCCGACGAAAACATTCTTTCCTCCCGACCCCATTGGCCCATTTGGCTATGTTGCCAACTGCTACGCGTCAGTTCATGTTTGGCAGAGGGGAAATTCTTTAGATCCATTGATCATGTGGTTCTGTTAAGGAGTACTGAAGTTTGAATTTTCAGAGCTGCAATATTGGAATTAGATGTTAGAGGTTGTTAGGAAGGGGACAAAGAACCCATCTGATTGGAAGGCTTGCCCATGATTCCTAAGATCCCATATTGGCAACCTTCCATGTTCTCTTGATGATTGATGACCCCCCCACCCCCATATGATAAGATGAAAACTTGATCCAGATTTATGGTGTGTTGATAAGTTTCATATTTATTTTTTCAAATGACTAAATTCTGGATGGTCAGTGGATATTCTTTTCCTGAGTTGTATTAATATAGATATCCTCGTAAGATTCGAAGAATAAATCAAAGTCATGCACGTAACTAATCGAATTTAAAAGTAATGTGTCACCATTTGTAAGCATAGTCATATAAAAGTTGTTATATTGATAAATTATCACTTTCAAGATAAATAATAAGTAGGACTTTGCTACGGTGACATGCATGTCACCGTAACATGGACTTTTCAGTCGACCTAATTCTAAAGGAGGTCGACCGAATGTGTTGTTTCAGTTATGTGAGGTTTAGCGACGTGGTCGACTGCTTATAGAAAATGGTCGGCCTCTTTGGGGGTCGAACAGAACGAAATGTCGACCCAAATACCTCATAGGCCGACCATTTTGCACCTAATAGGTTGACCGCATACGTACGAGGTCAACCGCATGAACACCTATTCGTATTGGATAAGGATTCCAACCCCAGAAAGGTAACCCTAACTTATTTACCACTTAATTCGACCCATTCACATCCTAAATATCTATAGATACGAATATAAGTCACCTTCAACGCCATCAAAACTCTGAATTATGTTTTTTTCGATTTAGAGCCTTTGTGAAGAAGATCGTTCGCGGTTGCTGTTGTACGTGTTGAAAGTGGTCGACCACGTCGAAGGTGAGGTCGACCTAATGTAGCATTCGCCGTCATCTTCTCTAATGCATGATTTCCACCGTCTAATTTGATATATTGTTGCGTGCAGAATACCATTTGGTCGACACTTATCTCAATCAGGTCAACTTTTGTTTGACAATTGTTCGGAATTGAATTTAGGGCACAACACTCGGACTTCCGTACTTGTGAGGTAACGAAGATCAACCCAATAGGTCGACCTAATGTTTTTCAAGGTCGACCGTTCTGTTTGTTTTGGTTGTTCATCATGAATGTCGACTTTGGCTTTGTTTGTAAGACTATGTTGTGCTTAAAAGGCCGTCCGCTCAAGCTATCTGATCGACCTATCCATTTTTTGGGTTAATATTACACTTGCTTTCGTTGGTGAATTGCCCCAAAAATGCCCCATGTTCATAGTCACGGGTAATTTTTACGGTCTCGGGACCGTAATATCTTTTTAGGGTCGCGAGACGCACAATTGCTGCTGGAATTTGGCAACTTCACGGTCTGGGGGTGATTTTCACTATCTCGGGACTGTGATAAATGAGTGATGCCCTTAAAGTCTTGCACTTTACTCCCCGAAGGTGATTTTCACCCCCTCATGGCGTGACATTTGCCTTTTGCTGGTGAACATTGCTCAACCTCCACTCCGTGCCTCGTTTTGACATGTAATGTGACAAAAAAAGCACAACCTAGTGTAAAATAGGTTGAGGAACGACGATTTTCTAAGCAAAACGAAAAAGAAATGAGGGGTAAAATATGTGTAATTGAGCCCGAATCACTCCCAATGACGAAGAAAGATAAGGTTCCCCCAACGATACCAGGGGCCGTTTCAAAGAACCATCTACAAATTTCAGCATTCGGAAATTGAAAGAGAATCAATCGCTTACCCATCCACGAAACTCGCATCGCACCATCCTTCCCCCAAATCCAGTTGGCCCAGGGTCGAATCAAAGAAATTGAGGCGGTCAAACGATGAACTGACCAACTAGACTATGATCCCATCGCTTATCCCCTTCATAAATTACTTCCCTAGGAATTCTCAGCGAGCCATTAATGAAGTCGATTGTCTTCGGGAATTCCAAATAAAGAAGCCCACGAAGAATCGTCACCGACGGGTGCCACACCATCGATGACGGACGCCATCGATTCGGGCTAAGATCAGGTGACTAGAAGGGGAGGGGGGTTCCCTTAGTCACATGGCTAAGTGAATCTCATCCCTTGCACCTCATTAAAATCCAATGATTGTATTTAATTCAATTTAATGAAGGACAATATAGTAATTGTAGACTTTTTTAATTTTCAATTATTAATTAATTAAAAAATCCTCAATATCTGGCGTGTCTCTTCTCGGCTGGGATTTGCGTCACCGTTCCGTGTCCCATCTCTTCCCGCCGGCCAGCAATCCGGCGTCCCATTCTCCTCCACAGGTTGCGGCCATTTTTATGGGGAATTTTCCCCTCCCAATTTTCCATGATCAAGGTCCAGAGAGTGGTCCAGAGAGAGAGAGAGTTGCGGCCATTTTTATGGGGAATTTTCCCCCTCCCAATTTCCATGATCAAGGTAGTGAGAGATAGGAATAGGTAGAGAGAGACTTTTTCGGCGACCAGCGACGATGGAGAAGGATTTCCCTACGATAGTGCTGGATTTGTGATGTTTGTCATTTTTAGTGACATTTTGTACGGTTAGTATGCTTTGTACTGTTTGTCGGTTTATTTTGTAATGTTTGTACGCTTTGTTATTTTGTAATGTTTGTCGGATTTTTTTTTAATGTTTGTAAACTTTATTCTTTTTGTGCACCATGTTTATCATTTTTGTCAACCATGTTTGTAATGTTTTATGTCTAAAAAACAACCTGGTTGACTTTTGGATGGAAATCCTCTATATAGGGATGGAGCCTCCAAAGTTAACCCAGGTGTTTTTTCCAGTTCGTATGGATTGTCGGTCTAGTTTTCATTTTTGTCCACCATGTTCGTACTGTTTGTATGTCTAAAAAACAACTGGGTTGACTTTGAGACGGAGCCCTCTATATAGGGATGGAGCCTCCAAAGTCAACCCGGGAGTTTTTCCAGTTTGTATGAATTTTTGGTCTAGTTTGTCATTTTTGTCCACCATGTTTGTATGTCTAAAAAACACCCGGGTTGACTTTGGGAAGGAACCCCTTTATATAGGGATGGAGCCTCCAAAGTCAACTTGGTTGTTTTTTTTTTGTATGGTTTGTATTGTTTGTCGGTCTAGTTTGTATTTTTTTTCTATAGTTCATATGTTTGTAAATCTGTTTGTATGTTTTGTCGCACTAGTTTGTATGGTTTGTACTGATTGTAAGTCCGATTTGGATACTTCGTAATTTTCCATAATACCCAAACTACCTCTGTCATTAATTAAATAGCCCTTCCCACTTTTTAACCATCAAATTGCTATATCCAAATCTAAAGACTGGGAGGGGCTTAGTCAAGTGACTAATCATCCCTTAGTCACTCGATCCTCTCTCTCCATCTATTCTAGGTCGACGAAGCAAACTTTTCAGAGAAAAGAGAAAGAGAGAAGGAAAGTAAATGGGCCTCTGACTTACGTGGCGGGCAAGGTTACCGATATAGAGCTGGGCATATTGTGGTTTTATCTTGCAATGGATGTATCGATCCAATCCATTATCTGGGCCTATTCCCAAAGGCCCAAAAGCGAGCCGGCGGAAATGATTTTGGTAGATAGAAGGAGAGGTGAAGAATAATTTGTGCTTGTCGAATGGCAGTGCCCACTTTCCTGCAGGCGTCAATCCACACTTGTACGATTCTAGGCACTCACCTATCGAACTATTCAAGGTGGTGGTGATTCTCTCCTTCTCTCCATCTCTCCATATATCATATATAGATAGATTTCAAGATCTAGCCAAATTTCCATGTCTCTTACCATTGCTAATTCACTTGTCGATCTGTTTGACTCTCTCAGCTTACTCTGGTTCTTCTTTTACCTTTTCTCCCCTCCAGGCCTATGATTACTTAGATGATCGTGATACGCGTAATGCTAGTAGCGCTGTTAGGTGGGTCAACCATTTGCTTAGCCCCATTCGGTCCTGAGGTAGGAGGTATGACGATTGAACCTTCTTTCTGCTCTGTTAGATTCCAATCTTCAACATATCTTTCCTTGGACCTCGACCCTTAATTTACAAGATAATCCGCTATGTCCAGTTATTTATTCTTCTTTCAGCTCATATTCTCCCAGAACCTGCTGTGCTTCCAGTCAGCAATTCGGGCTCACAGATTCCTTCTGCTGCTTGGCAAGAGCTATATGAGACGGTACAAATCTAACTAGTACTCTTCTTGTAGTAGAATGGTTGTACCCAGTCAAGTGTGTGTTGCTAAATACCGCGACTAGCTCGATCTATTGAGGGTCTTGATTATATTCTGCAACTTATATTTTACTTGTGTGTGGTGCAGGGTCTGAAGGAAGAAGAGAATGGAGTAGCCGCAAAGTGTGAGTTCTTCAGGTGTAAAGTACGTGACGGCATAGTTGGCGTCAAGTAACTAAGTAAGGTGATGGTTTCTTAAGTTGTAGAACGAGCACTGTTAAAATGTGATGTGGAGATTACTTTAATTAGTAGATGTAGACCTTATGACAATGATTTTGACTCATTCTTGAGAGGGAGTAACTGGCAGAGAGGGGAGGATAGAGACCTAGCTTGTTAGTTGGGATGCAAATTGAATTTCAGGAGCCATTTTAAATGGAAATGGTATTGTTATCGTGACATACATACAGGTGATATTATTATTATATATAAAGAAGAAGCAAAGTTACTGTTGCCTAATTTCTTGCATTTTGATACTCCAAATTTAACTAAATCACAGTTTAGTCATCATAATGTACATTTTACATTTTGATACCAAATTTAATTTTAATATAAAATCATTGAACAATTATGTTTTGTTATCTAAATTTTATGAGATTTTCATACCTACAATTTATAGATTTACATATTTGTCCAATGTTTATATTTCACTTGAATCCATGAATCCAATTCACCAATCCTTTTGAACCAATTAAATCCAATCCATCATAACATAAAAGTATAAATTTAGTTTGTATAATACAAGATGTTGTATCACTCAACCGTAGGAGAAGTTTCGACCATTTTATATTTGCTAATTACGTGAATCATTAAATAAATGATTAAAGAGAGATGATTCTAAAGCATTAAAAGAGCGAATTTATAAAATCATTTAGTACATTTACGGGGTACTAAACAAACTTCTATTAACTACCTGTAACAAAATATGTCACATCTACATAGGCAAGTGTCAATAAATTGCTACGGTGAAAAGGGTTGATTGTTGTATATATTGACGTTCAACTAAATGAAATTGTCAAAACCTTTCTATCATCTACTTTTTCTTCGTTTCATTTTTCACTCGCCCTCCATAACCCTTTCTTTATTTCTTTCTTTGCCTTCTTCGTCTAACCCTAATTAGTATACTATTTTTATGTATTCTAATCACAAGTATAAACGGGTCCATACACGACTCACCAACAGTCTAGAGAACTAATAATTGAACCATGAACCACTAACTTTTTCAGCTCAATGTCCATTCCACTAAAAAATAAATAAATATGGTTATTACTTACTAGAAAGTCGTCATTTTTCACTATGAGATTTGAAGGCGTGAAATTTTGAGTGAGTTCCGGTTTGTATTCGTTTTGCTTCTCTATATAGTTTTTCTTTTCCACCCGGGCTAGAATTTTCAACAATTATACATGTAATGTTTTTCTAGGTATCTACACATATCAAATAAATAGTTTTATTTTTCTATAAAAAAAAGTAAATGACTATCATCTTAAATACATCACCATAAAAGGAATTAAACCTCAACTATGCAAATCACAGTTCTGTAACTAAACTTCATTGATCTTTAGATTTATAACCTAAATTTATTTTTTTGCATATAAGTCCTCAAAATGTTTACGAAACATCATTTTAGTACCTAATTTTTGTGTGTTACATTTTGGTACCTAAACTTTTAAAGTTCTACAAATAGGTTTAAATTTTGTATGTGTAATTAAACGCTCTTGAATAAATGGGTATCCATACCCAATTCATACACATTTAGATTATTAAAGTAAATATCCAAACCCTACCCAAACCCATCTACAAACTTCCAAACCCATATATACGTCACCCATTACCTACATATAATCAATGGGTCTACTTGGGGTTGGGTAAATATCATTTACAAGCCAAAAAATTTTAAATTGGATGTTGACCGTCATATTTCTCTTCTCAGTCAATATCATATGGTCAAGCCAATATTACTAACAAAACTGCTAACAAAAAATTATTTTTACGCTAGTAATACTAACAAAACATCATAACGGGACACATAATACATGCTCATAGGCCATCTCTGTCCGCGACAAGGCGCGGCATCGCTACCTAGTATATATTAAAGCTATAGCTGCTATTTTTTGTTTTTGAATTTTCTCGCTTTTGCTGTACTAGATAATTTGTAGCAAATATAAGTTATGTTTCTCATTCTCATCTCTTATTAGGTATCTCGTCTGTATAGTTTCTTCATCTTCCGGATAGTTGAATCAGGGGTAATTTAGGTCTCCAGATTTTATGTTATTAAAGATTTGCAAAGGGGTGATTGCCTTGGGGTTCGTTTGACAACAATATATTCTGCCCCTTGAGTTTCACTATACATCCGATTTTGCAGTCCATGGTTTCAAACGACCCCCTTAGTCTTTATGTTATCACTTCATTTGGATGGCAATATTTACCGTTTGGAACAGTTATGAACTAATTTCTTTGCCTAGATCTTCTTGGAAGTTTGCCAGAGTTATATGTATGTACTCCGGCCACTGGAGTATTAAATTGATGATTGTGCTGTCAAGGTTGTTTGGAAGTTTGATTGTTTGAATTTAGAAGTTGTGATTGTTTGAATGAGTGTATTGTAATTTGTATGGATTAGTCTAACTCGGTCAATGCATGTATTAATTTTATATCTCAGTCTTTCCTTTTTCATTGGGTGAGTTGGTATTAATTTATGTGTATGTGTAATGTTTAAATGAATGGATTTGAAATATACAAATTGTTTGATGGATGTGATTCTTCTTATTGTAATAAAGAAAAGCAACCCACTTCTAAAAAAAAAAATAATAATAACAACCCTTCTTTAGTGTGAAAAATACGCTTTTAGCACTTCCATTAGCCAACTCTTGGGACTTGTCGATATGTAATTGTACCCAAATCTGACAAGTCCCGATTATAAAGAGTACAAACTTTATTAGCATGTCTATATGTTTGTAGTAAATTTAAGAATACAAACCAAAAAAATAAATTTTTTTAACTGAAACAATTATAAAGGCGGGGAGGAAGATTCGAACACCAATTTTTAGAGAAAGATCAAGTAGTTGGTACAAGGTTTCTCACCCCTTCGTCTCTCCCTCCGAGTTTCATCAAGCTTGTGCTACAGATTACTAACATTATAAAAAGGTGGTTTATTAAGTAACATTATAAAAATGTGGTTTATTAAGAAAGGATGAGCACCATCTCATTGTGCCTCATCCGTGTCCATGTATTTATCCCGATGAGATTCCAAGCCCTTCAGTCGTTTTTCTTTGGGCGAAAGTTTAGTGACCCTCTATGTATTGCTTCTTTGTTTATTTTCGCTCCCATGGAAGATGTAGATTTCTCCGACAAAGAAGAGCAACGGCGAGGCGGAAAAAATGGTGGGATGGGTTCTAACTAGGAATGGCAATGGGCAGGTCTGGGTCGAGTATTTCAATACTTATATCCGTCATGTCATCATGTGGCAAGTCAGGTTCAGGTCGGATAATTTATCATGGGGGTGGGACGGGCAGGACGACCCAATGTGTATGTATTTATATGGAAAACATTAGAAATATTCACTATTTCATTATAAGACCAAGAAACAAATTTTTTTTATCTTAAACCTGCCGAAACAAATCATAAATTAATAATGTAGTTAAATTATTGGAAAAATTGAGATTTTCAATAATTTACAACTTTATTATAGCTAAAATATGATGTAATAGAAAATCCTAAGTAGTCTAACTAAGATTACATGTAATTTAGACTAGAAAGGGTCAAGAATGCGGCGGGTTAGGACAGGTTGGGTCGATGAAGGTACCCATGCCTGTACCGCCCCACCTACGTGCGGGTCGGACTCACCCCAAAACAGGCCAAACAGGTCAGGTCAAAATTGTCATCCCTAGTTCTAACTAGGATAAGACCAACTTCAATGCTTTTCCCCAAATTTGGAGACCTTCATCTCCAAATTTGGGGATGATCCCCATTTTCATCATTTTGCTCCAGTGCTATCATCTCCAAATTCCGGGGTGATCCTCATTTTCATCATTTTTTTTACTTAAAAATGTACTTATGATCATTTAGTATAATTTGTTCATGTTAATTTTTGTATAGTTCGTCACTATTTTTAAATACAAATTTCCGATCAAATTTATTTAAATTTCGCTACCGAAACACTTGAAAATTATTAATATAATTAAAAGCATATTTAATGCCCTAATTAAAACCCAATTAACCCCTAACATCGTAAAAAAAAAAATCACGTGGTGGGCTGGCGGTTGTTCTGCCCACCAACACACCCCTCTCCATTTTTAGGGAAATCCCCATTTCTATTTACTTAAAAATGTACTTATTATCTCATAAAAAGTTGGAAAAAAAACTCTCAGAAGAATTCTCACAATTACATGTATTGTCTAAACATAGCTCTTAGAAACCCAACTAAACTAGTGATGGAGTTTCGGTTACCGATTACTAGTTAACTGGTCGGTTAAATCGATAACCAATCGGTTATCCACTAACCGAAAACTGACATAAATGAAATTCGGTCGGTGTTCGGAGGCTGGTGAGATGGTTTTGGTCTTGGAGGTGGTTTGGTTAACCGAAAACCGAGATAACCGAAGCCTAAATCCCTATTTCGGTCGGTTGTCGGTTTTAACCGAAACTAACCGATGGCCAGCCCTACTCTAAACGATCCCTAAATTTTTGCAGGATTAACACTACAAATATTGCATTTAGCTAGGAGCTAGAAACAAAATCGCACTGGATAAATGGGGGTTAACCAAAATAGAATAAGAGCATACTAGCCAATCGCAATCATACCACAAACGGTATCCTATTAACCACTAACCACAAATTGTGGTTAGCGTTTAGTTGAGGTTAATCGCAGCTGTAAATGAAAATTTGAGTTTGGTATATATGATGCAATTAACCATTGGATTATGATAATACCTAAATTGATGTTATTTGGCCCTCATTTAGTGGGCGTTTTCATTTAATCTTGAGTGTTTAAAATGGTACAAATCCTCGTTTTAGCCTAGAAATGCTTCCTTTTGTGTTTTAATCGAAGTTTAGGTGGTTTCGGGGAATACAAGTGTTTTTTGCTTGAAAAGGGAACTCATGTGTAGGAAAAACGGGCAAAAAGAGAAAGATTACCACCTTTCAACAACATTTTCTTCCTAATTTGTCCCTAGTCATATTTGTATTGATCGCACATTAAATATACTATTTAAGGTTTAATCATTAGGTTTTGAAAATACTTGGGGATAAGAATAGCCTTTTACTATTATATTTTGATCTAAAACATAACTACAAATTAGTTGTAGTCTAATTGAAACTATATTTACTAATAGTAGCAGTGTTTCCAAGTTCAAATCACATAGGCCCTATCACTTAAATATTATTTATACCCATATGCAGAATACTATAGAAGGTTGAATAATCATTTACCAAATTTTAAGGATGTTCCACTATCACTAATTTTTTATATCCATACACAAACTACTATCAAAGGTTGAATAATCGTTTTTCCAAATTTTAGGGGTATCCCGGGACACCCCTAAACCTCCATTTATCCGCCCCTGTACGCATCAA